GTCGATGGTGTTTCTGGGGCATAGTGGCACTTTGCCAACTGCGCTGTAGAGTGATGCCGCCTGTAATAATTAGTCTGAAGATAATGTCCTGAAGTCCAAAGGGAGTCTGTTGCAGAAACCCGCTTCCTGTTGAATCATCTACTGTAGAAGTGATTCACTGCTCTTCAAGGAAGAGCTGCTTGGGAGTCCCCCGCAATGCCCTGTGCTGACTGCCCAGGCCGCAGGATTCCGCTTGTGAGGAGCCACCATTTCTGTGCTCCAGCCAGACTGCCCCTTGTCCAGGCTGGCTCTGTGCTGCAGCTGTCTCCTGCAGCGCTCCGTGTCTCTGCTTGCCTCTCAGGTGATGGAACTCTGCCGTCCGTTGGATTCTCGACTCGAACATGTTGACTTTGAATGCCTGTTTAAGTGTCTAAGTGTCTCTCACACGATTCGGGTCTTTGCCTCTCTCCTGCTGGAAAGGAGAGTCATCTTTGTTGCTGACAACTTAAGGTAAAAAAGGAGTCTGAATGACTAGTTCTTTCTGAGGGATATTATTTTTTCTTCTGTGTTTGGGCCTGTTTCATGTGCAAGCTTGTCTAATTTTTTGTAAATAGTTACATTTAAAAGCTTTTTGCAGGCTTTCCACACAACCTGTGCATGCTTAGTATTTGGAGTGTGTTATTTACCCAAGAGGAGGTAAGGGAAGGTTTCCTTTACCTCTTTAGAGTGAGTTGATGCTATTCCCAGTCCCCCATAACTGACTTTAAAAGTGGATGCATGGGGCTTCTGCTGATGCATAAACAAAGTATGTGAATTACGTTTCCCATGAGCATTTCTAACCTGTGTCTGTAGCTGAGTACTGAATGAGACATTGACAATCCACTCTGTGCTTCTCTTACCTTTCTAGCACTCTGTCTAAATGTGGCCATGCCGCAGTTGCAACGCTTTATCCCTTCACTTGGCAACACACCTACATACCAGTCCTACCAACTTCTATGATTGATATTGTGTGCTCTCCGACCCCATTCTTAATTGGCATTCTCTCATGCTCATTACCACAGCTCCAGGACCTGCCCATAGAAGAGGTGAGAATTGGGTGAAGCACAGTGGAGGGACAATCTCAGTGATATGAGGCTGACCTCTCTGGAATAACCCCTGTGGATTCTGTCTTAATATAAACAAACTTTTCTGAGACAGTTGGTGAACTTGTCAGATACATGTCAGGGTGTTCCGTTGTTATCAGAGGTGAATAATATTCACTGTTCTTATAGACAGGCTGCATGCAAAACTTGTGTTTTATGTGTCACATCCCCTGCCACTGGGGACATTAAAAAAAAAAAAAAAACAATGTGTTTTGCATATCTTTCCCCAGGTTCTGATTGTTGATCTTTGTGCTGACAAGTTCTTGCAAGAGGTGAGTGAAAGAACAGTACCAGGCGCACATGGTTATATGCCAGAAAAGGCATCAATGAAAGAAAATGAAAACAAGAAATCAGCGAAAGCTAGTGTTCATATGTAGACTCCACTGGTTGAAGAAAATTGTTGCATTCCTTTTTGGTTGATAGAGAAGGGAACAGGCTTACAAATCTTTGTTGCAATATTGAGGTTGCAGGAGGTAACAGAGCTCTGTGAAGCCAAAGCTGCTGCTTATCTGAGCTGGATTTAAAAACAGATACTTAGTTGGTTCAGTATGGATTTAAAAACAGTTACTTAGTTGGTTTGTTATGTGAAGTTGACAACTAAGATTCTTTGCTGCTTTCTGGCTGTCTTTCTGTGTACTACTTCTCTAGAGGGCTAACTCCTCTCTTACCTAGCTGGGGTGTGTCTGTTGGTTTTGTTTCAGTTCACTTGTGGTTCTCTGCTGAGCTTTACCTAATATGCTTCTGCATCTCCAGACAGGTAGCTATAAACATAGTGGTATATTACTAGTTCAGGAGGATATTTGCATCTCCTTTTCCTTGCTTTACTGTTCTATTTTGCCTTGCAGCCTGCAACTGGAAAAAGGTATTAAAGGATCAGGTGTTTTTTAACCATAATTTTGAGACTTGTCATATTTTCTCAACAGACTTTTGTTGTTCTTGTGTGTTTTATCACTGGTATAATAAGCCTGAGTCTGTGTCGTGGATATAGCACACGTTCTGTGTTGGCCAGCTGTGTGTGTGACTCCAATAGTATGTAGTTGGAGGGTTCTGAGCAAACGTTTTTCATTTCTGTGGCTTCAAGACAAATGTATTGTCTCCACCAAGATACACCATATCACAGAGTAACTTCCCTCTAACTGTTTTAGTCATGTTATGAGTATTTATCATCTGCTTACAATTAGAAGATCCTGCTGCTGATAGATATAACACAAAAACGCTTTAATGGCCTTTTTTATCATTAGGTATCTGATGAAGATGGGATCCTGCCTCATAAACTCCAGGCTGCACTTGTACAAATCTTGGAAGAACGAAGTGAAATCTTGTCACATGAGCAGAGTGACACACAAGGTACTTCTGTGGAAAAGTGTTTTCACAGAAGCAAATCTCTGCAGCTTCCATGTAGTTGATACAAAAATAAGCAAATGGAAATAAACATTAGGAAGCGACATTTTAGAAAGCTATTTTCCTGTGATCTTACTGAGAGCATCTTTCTTGTGAATATGTTAGGAAGAAGTTTGATGTCCTAACAGTTGTTCCTCTTTTCACAATTACTATGTGTGGAGCTCTAGTTTTCCTTGGGCCAAGTGCATCAGTTCCTGTGCTTTGAGTTTTCTTTGATTTTTCTTCAGTGGCAGAGAGAACATTTTTCTAAAAAAGAGAATGTAGCAAGTTTCTGTACTTCAGAGTAATCTGACAGATCATTTTCGAAGTTGAACTACTTTATACATAACCCATCAGATAAACAAGTGTGAGAATTTTAAAAAGCATTGAGTAGCTTGAGAGAATGGCTTTGGCAAATTACGTAATTCCATGCACATCAGAAGGAAAAAAGTTAGTTTTCCAGTGGGTTTGTGTTCTGTAATTTGCCTGATTATGTAAGAAAGTTGATCTTAGATTGTTATGAGCTTACAGCTTATTAGACACTAGATGTTTGACAGGGGAAAAGAAATCCTGAATGCTTTACTAAATGCTTTAACTACTGGAAAAGCTTTAGAATAGAACCTGTCTCAGCTGCAGCAGACAGTTGACATGGGAGAGAAATATTTGAGCTATGGCTTCTTTGATATCAAACGCTCATCTGAAATTTCATAGTCTGAGACAGCCAGCCTAAAAAGTAACTCTTGCTAGTCTTTTAGAAGAGGAATGACCAAAGTGATGAATGTAGAGGGGAAATGGCTCCTCCTTTGTCCTCTTCACAGGTGGCATGCCTCTCAACTCCCTGGTGTCTGAAGCTTTTGTGCAGTTCTTTGTGGAGATCGTTGGACACTACTCCCTGCACATGAATGTCACAGAAAAAGGGGAGCGGGTGTTTCAGTGGGAACTGTTCCGTAAATCTCATGTGTCACGCAATGTGCGTCATTTCTTGCACTTCTTCATGGAAACGCAGATGTTTGCAGGGTTCATACAGGATCGAGAGCTAAGTAAGAACGTGGTCAAAGGTGAGGTTTGATCTTACTTTCTTGTTTTACAAACTCAAAGTATAATGTCATGTGACTTTGACTTTCAGGAAGCCTTTTGTCCTGCAAGTTATCCTGTTGACATTTTGGCGTATGTAATAGCTCTGTGCCCTTCTAATTACTACTCAACAGAATTCATCTTATGAAGCAAAGAATTTTTGCATCTCTCTCCTTTCTGGGCTTGATCCTGCAGCTTACATTATGTGCACGATTCCTTTTCATAACTTCCTTGTTAATGATATAAGATGCCACATGCTAAAAGATGGAGTAGCTCATCTAGGTTAGTGATTTTTTTCTTTTGATTTTTCTTTAGGCCTTTTTGAAGTCCGTGCCTTAGAGTATTTGGAGAGTATTCCAGATATGGAACCAACTGGAATGAACAAAATCCTTCGCAGTCTTGGTAAAAGGACACCCTTACTTTTGGTTCTTTTTCTTTTTTAATAAATTTAGCTATTGAACAAACGATTGCATGCAAAAGAGAGCAGGGCCCTTGCACTTCTGCTCCTTTTGTGTACATTTGCCCCTTCAGGGGACACCAAACACTTTTGTAAGATTTTTCTTTTATTTTTAAGCTTTTATTTTCATTTTCAGATAAAAGTTTGCATAAGTTGCCTCATCCTAGAGCTGTCTAAACTTGTTTCCTAACTTTGATCTTGGCTGAGAGCACGCTCGTGACGCAGCAGCCCGGTCCGTGTGGATTTCCACCGGAACCAGCTCCTCAGACCGATGACTCTTCCGTAACGTTGGGTTTTTTTTTCTCCCCAGGAAGTAAAATGAAGTTTCTTCAAAAGAAATGAACGGGCGCTGCTGCGCCGCTGGGCCCGGGGGTGCCGCCCGCCCCGCGGCAGGAGCC